GAGACCTATTCAATGATGTAAAAAAATCGAATATAGCTTTTTTGGTTCTGGAGATATACAGGAAAAACCAAAAAATCCCAAATTATTTTTTTGCCTATATCTTCTTTATTCGCAGACATATTGAAAATCTTTCCACATTTTGCTATTGGCACTTGATGTGGGCTCTCAGAATATATCCATGAATCTTTTATACAGGGTGTCATCTGACTTGGGCCACCCCTATATTTTGAATTTTTAAATAAGGACCTGTATTTTTTGTTGTAGTTTTTGGATCGTAGACGTTCACTTCATACTGAGAAATTAAATTCAATTTTATATTTCGGGATGTTTCGGTAATATTCGACTATAATTGCGTGAATTATTCCCTTTTAAATTTCGGCCCTGGAAATTGGTTGACTGAGTTGAATAAAAACATAATAGCAACTTTCACGTCTATGTATCGTAGAGTTTTTCGAGGGTTTTTTTTTCATTTTTGGGTACCTATTCATATTGTTTCCATTGCTCTGAGTGTTGTCCACAATGAACTTCGAATAAGAAAACCTTTTATGATTATTTGAAACATATCTACATCAAAAATATATTATATGTGTTTTAATAAGCAGAAAACGAAATGATAGCAATAATAACATCCGAAACGGACACTATAATTGTAATGAAAACTGAAATGAAGTGATTTATATAGGTACCCAAAAAAAATTATTGGAGCAATAAATGTTTGAATTGGAGTCCTTCCATTTCCAGACATTTTTAAACTCGGTTTTTCATATTATTTATTGCCCTTAATACACTTATTTGCTGCATTGTTGCAAAATCATTCAACATCCTCAATCTCGAGTCTTCCACATTTTCTATCTCTCTGCCAGTATAAATCCTATTTTTCAATGTCCCCATAGAAAATAGTCCAAAATAGTAAGATTTGGTTATCTTGCAGACCATCTTATTGTCCCATTATTTGTCTTGAAATGGAAGGACTCCAATTCGAACATTTATTGCACAATTAATTTTTTTGTGTATATAAATTACTTACTTCATTTCAATTTTCATTATAATTATAGTGTTTGTTTCGGATGTTATTATTGCTACCATTTTTTTTCTGCCCATCAAAACACATATAATATATTTTTGTTGTAGATATGTTTCAGATAATCATAAAATGTTTTCTTATTCGAAATTCATTGTAGAAAACGCTCAGAGCAATGGAAAAATATGAATAGGCATCTAAAAATAAAAAAAACTGCAGTTTTAGGCTCTACTTAAACTGCAGTAGAGCCTTGAAGATGACAGCACAGCCAGCTATCGAAAGCGCTCGCATATAATAAATAGAAGTTATAAAGCTTCAAATCCTTTTTGTGACATATGTTAATATTAAAATATATAATTGTTTTGCAAGTGGCACTTGATTTTTTTCAAAACCATCTTACACCTTATACCCAATCCAATGACACTTTGTTCATATTTTTCGGAATCATATTCATTGGATGTCTCAATTAAAATATAAATCCCTTGTCTGAAAAGAATTGACATTTTGTAAATTTGCTTGAGCCGATGATGTACTTTAATGTGATAGTACTATTGAACTTGGAATTAATTCGATCATTTTTTTCTTGTTCAAGGCATGACCAAAATCAAAATGTCGAGTCAAGAGGGGCCAACGGCAAATGGCAACGACTTTGTAGAACGAAGGAGAGCCTCATTAGAGAGGTATTTGAAGAGAACTGCGGAACATCCTGTTCTGGTATTGGATCCAGACTTTAGGGAATTTCTGGAATCTGGTGAGTAAAATTTGTTGTTATTGTTGTTCATATCAGTAATGATTTATTTCTTTCAGATGTTGAATTACCAAAGGCTACAAATACTTCTGCTTTGAGTAGTGCAGGGGTTATGAGACTGTTCAATAAAGTGGGAGAAACTGTAAACAAAATCACTTACAAAATGGATGAAACGGATCCTGTAAGTAACTCGGGAATGAGTATATAATTAACAATAAATTTTGAAAAAACAGTTTCAATGCTTATACTTAATTGAATGATTCTTATGGGATTTTTATTCATCAGCTTTCTTTGCAGTGGTTTGAAGAGAAACTGAACCACGTAGAAGCTCTGGAAACTCAGCTTAGGAAACTTCACGCCAGTGTGGAAGCAATGGTATCGTATAGAAAGGAGTTGGCTAATTTAACAAATGGCGTCTCTCGTTCAGCTGCAATGTTGAGTGCTTGTGAAGATCACAACTCCCTCTCAAGGGCCCTTTCCCAGTTAGCTGAGACAGAAGAGAAGGTATGTTTTATTTGGATACTTTTTTAAGTAGATCTCAATTTTTATTAACAAAACATTTATGTTCTTGCCCATGTTCCAAATTTAATTAAATCATTCTCCAAGGCTCTGTAACAATGAATTTTCATAAACATATCTCCCACAAAGTTTATAACTGTTATCGTTGAAATGTTACAAGGAATCATTAGTTCTTGAATAAATCACTCACCCAAAAGGAGTTTCTAACTATTTTGAAAAGAACAGACATATTAGATGAATATTAAAAATAATAAACACCAACACTAATAATACTAATAATTAGAAAACAACTGATGATAGTCTTGAAAATAACATTTCCCAAATGATCATATCTATTTATTTACTAACAAGAACATAGAATGAATAAACTAATATTGAAATGAACTACAAAACAATGTGTGATATTGATCCCCTCTCATTTCTGAACCTAACAAATCATAAATTTTATAGAACCATTCTTTATGAAGACCTTTTGTAAATTAATCTTTCAATTGTTCCTTTGTATTCATCAAATACTTTGGCATTGACTTTTTCAACTAAACCTCACTTCATGAAGCAACTAGTTCTGCTAGAGTGTTTGATAGCGGAATACAATTTTGTTTCTTGGACACGTACCTGATTACCCGCCCAAAAACCGCACCACTTGTTGCGGTTTTTTTAAACTGTTTAGTGGAAATCAATAAAGTGTTAGTTGAATTCAACATAACATATCAAAGATTTTTTATCGACTTTCTTTGGGTATTTTCACCTTCCACAATCTGAAAAATATGAAAATTATATTGAAGAACTTTAGGTATAGTTGTCCTTACAATCCTTACTAAATATTCATCTCTAAAAATAACACTTTTTTTATTCTCTGCAAATGCAGAAAAAGATTATTATTATTATTGTGTTAAGAAGTGGATCTTGCTGACAAAAATTTCTGATATAAAATTTGATGTATAATTGAATTATATAATTCCATAAATATATACAGTGTGACAATTTGAAAACTTACAATGGCTATATCTGAGCAACCAAATTAAATATAAGGATGAAAAATGAGAAATGCAGTTTTGTTTGAAAATGTTCTTATAGGACGAACCTGCAGTAACGTTAGTTACAAATAAAAATGGTAAAAAACATAAATAAAAAGTTTCATTTCTCATTTTCTCGCAACCCAATTTTATTTTCTTCAATGACAACTCCCCTACTTGTGATACCTTATCTAAAACCTCTTAAGAAATGCTCTTCAATTGTATTCTAAAAAGCTACATTCGATGTAGTAAGTTTTGGTTAATTAATTAAAACACTATTTTAATTGAACTTTTATTTTCTATTATTAATTTATAGGTGGGGAACCCACGATGCAAAATGGGGATTTACTCGAGCGTCATAGAGACATATTAGGTTGCAAAGCTTAGATGATAAGAAAAAAAAATGTTATATAATATAAACCTTTTCATCGGTGGGGCTAGCGGCTATAGGTTTTTAAATATGTAACAAAATAATGTTGCATGGACATACTCGAGCGCGTCAGATATTGATAGCATCAACGTTCTACGTATTTTTAATAATGTTCGTATGTTAATCTGATCGTTTGCATGATGCGGTTGGTTGTATGTAAGGGTTTAAAGTGAAAAGAAAAAAATTTAATCGAGTGCGTCAGATTTTCTAAGGGGGTATTAAGTACACCCAAGAAAAGCTCTCATTCAATAATCTGACGATTTCGATCTGACGCAAACTCGCGGCCATCATTATAATGTGCAAAAAAAATTCGCCATTTTTGAAAAGCTCAGGAAATAGCATGCAAATAAATGAGTGTATGTTTTTTAAATACAATACTTGTATTTATAAGAATATAATTTAAAAAATATGATCAAAAAAATTTAGTTTTTGTAATCAGTTGATTAATTAATCATCTTCATCACGAACGAATCTCTGTGATCAGCTGTGATAGCGTTATGGCAACAGAATTCAGAGTGGAAACGGAGTGAGGGAGTAATAGATAGAGAAAAAATGAAAAAGGAATAGAAACGCGGAGAGGGAAATATAGATATCACACAGCTGCACACATTAAACTTTATCGACGAATTTTTGTTATTTCGAGTTGCGGAAATCGTCAGATTATATATTTTTCGTTATCCTTGAATTATTTCCTTCAAAATAAAAAAAAAATTGCTACGCTCGAGAATGTCGAAATGACGTTATTTTTTTACAACTTTGCTGCCCTTCCCTTTACGTCACTCTCAAATTGTCAGATTACTGGAATATACACTTTTTAGCATGTAATTAACTCACCCTACCTCAATCTGACGCGCTCGCGAATTTCTGATCATCAATTTTTTTTACTAATCCGATCCTTTATCCCTCACAGGCGGCCTTATATATGGGGCTCATATTTGGTGGTACTTAACCGAGTACAAGGTATCCCCCTGTATATTAATCTGCCGCGCTTTAGAAAATCCTGAAATCCCCGCTTGGGCTCCCCTATGATAAGAAATGTTTGAAAACATTCTTATTACCATCGAAGCATTAATATTGAGACTCTTGAACATTTTACGCTTGTACTATTTTTGTTTGTTTGTACTTGACTAAATTTGACTTTAGTTGATAAGTAAAAGTAACAAAAAAGGGGTGTTTGAAATATTCGTTTTTTAGAGGTATTTTTGTATTGCATTTTATTACTTTAAGATACTCTTATTGAAAATGATACTCTCATTATTAATACATTTGGTTTTTATTTTGAGAAACAGAACAGCTGAAAGTGTGAAAATGATTTTTATTTATGGTAGAGAAGATCAGTGTTTGTTAAGAACAATTAAAGTATATAACCAAAGGCACCCAAATGTACGTCATTTGTACATTCGTCAACTAGTAGCAAAATTTCAAGAATACTAGACGAAGCAACGCAAATTGAAGTACTCGAACAGTTTGCAATGAATCATACTTATCAGGGAGCTACAGTAACCGGATTATTCCACTAATCTGTAAGGAAAGCACTTAAATTTCATCCATTTATAATGCAAATCCTTATGAACTTGGTGACGATGACCCTGACAGAAGAACTGAATTTTGTGAAATTATGACAGCTAGATTTATCGCAGAACCTCGGCTCATCACAAATATTTACTTTAGTGACGAGTGCACTTTTTATTTAAGTGGGCATGCAAATGAACAAAACTGTTATCACTGAGGTGGGAGAACCCACGACTATTTAGAAAAGGGCATTCGCAATACCCCAAAAAAGTAAATGTTTAGGCTGGTATATTGGGAGATGGAATTTTTTGATCCATCATTTATAGAAGGAAATTTAAATGGCAAAATGTATGCTCACATGCTAAAAGATCTATTGAACCTCGGATAGTTCATGAATTAGAGAATGAGAGAGACATACACAGCAATTTATTTTTAGATGAACATTCATTACATTTTCAACAGGATAGGGTACCTCATTATATAGTTCTAGTTAGACAATGGTTTGATAATGATTATGCTAATCAATGGATTGGAAGAAGAGGTCCTATTGAATAGCCTCCTGGATCCCCAGACCTATCAAAATAAAAAAATCAAAATAATTTATTCGCACCCGCTACATAGCAGCCATCCTTAGGATTGATGTATACGTCAAATACTGTTACATTGAACAAAATATGATAAAATGTCACAAACACTAATAGTACTAAAGAACAGGCAAACATGTGTAACTCTCAGACAACAAGTAAATCAAAAATCATCATTCAGGAATTCACTGATGGAGTAATAGGCTTTTGCACACAGAAATGTATACGTCAAATACTGTTACATTGAACAAAATATGTGAGAGCTCAATGACCGAAGCTAATTAGACGAGAAACCTCCGCGGCCCTTGGGGCTGAATTTTCTAGTACATCATATTTTAACTTTTCCTCTCACATAAGTATAAATATATACAATCAAAAAAATGAAATTGTTGAGAAATTCAAATGTTTGGGGTTATTCGTGGAACAACCACTGAATATAAAAACACATTACAATTATATTCGCAATAAAAATGCAGAAAAAATATTTTTCTTTGGCCGTGTAAACAGTTGCTTACCGTTTCAGACTTCCATTACAGTTTTCAAATAAATCATTCATCCCCATTTCGCTTACTGTGCTACTTTACTATCACAACTTGATGCAAATTGTTTGTCTGCATTGCAAAAATGACAGAATAGAGGCTTGCTACTAATTTTAAAATGTGATAGATATACGCCAACTTCAACAACGCCAACATTAAATTTTAATATTGTTATTTTTTTTCTATTCATTGAATGCAATTCCGAGCATACATATTTTATTGTTATGAAGTTGGGCTATGACTTTGTCAATCCAATTTTAAATGTTTTTGTATATTAGAATGCCTAGTTGAAATAAAGATTATTATTGTTATTCTTGTTTGCTAGCTTAAGCATTCTAGTAATGGATGAATAACTGTGATACTCTGGGATTCCCTAAATTCACATTCTATTAATCAGTTGCGTTAATCCTGGATGACTTGTTGATAAGTAGAATTTGGAACCTCTGTCCCTGTGGTACACCAGATTCAATGGCCCTGTTCTCCGAGAGTTCCGTTGTCCTCACCATTTGACTTCGACCTGAAAGGTACGATTTGAACCAAGTGTTCGTTACACCTTTACATCCATATTTATGAAGTTTTTTTAATAAAATGTTATGATTAACGCAATCAAACGCCTTTGAAATATCGCAAAAAATTGCGGCGGCTACTTCACCAGCATTCAATTCAGAGTAAATTTCATATAAAAAAGAGAAGATAGCATCATTTGTATCTTTTTTCTCTTGAAACCCAAACTGGTTTTTGCTTATAATACAGTGCAGTTTTAAGAATTCATCTAAACGTACTTTGACTAATTTCTCAATAATTTTTGCTAAAGTCGGTATTAAAGGACGCAGATTGGAGGGATTATCTAAATCACCACCTTTATGTAGTGGAATGACAACGGAAGTCTTCAGGGAAGAAGGAAATGAGCCAGTTCTGAATGAGGTATTAATAAGGGCGACCAAAGTTTCTAGAGCATTGAGTGGTAAATTCAAGAGAATCTTAACGGAAATATCATCATATCCGGCCGTGTTTTTATTTTTAATGTCATGAAGTGTTTTGAACAATTCATTAAGGTCAGTGTCATATAAAATAAGACTAAGTTTATATGCAGAGTTCCTTGAAAACTTCTTTTGAACACTTTCAAGCATATCAATATTCACATTTTTTATGTCAGATGATGAACATTGTATTATTCACAGGTGGAAGCACTGCATTTGGAGCAAGCTAATACAGATTTCTTCATACTTTGCGAGCTGTTGAAAGATTACCTTGGTCTCCTGGGTGCTGTAAGAGACGCTTTCCATGAAAGAACGAAACTGTTTCAGCACTGGCAGCACTCACAACATATGCTCGCAAAAAAACGTGAAGCCAAGACCAAATATGAGCTGACAAATCGAAATGATAAAATGGATCAAGCTAATGCAGAAGTTGTTGAGGTTTGTGATTGGTTTAGATAGAAAAGATCTATTAAGCAATGCTGATAGATAATAATATAATTCAAATTATATTTTTTAGTGGGAATCAAAAGTTGAACGTGGTCAAGACAATTTCGACAGGATATCTCAAATGATTAAGAAGGAAATGGAAAGATTTGAGAAATGCAGGATTCATGATTTCAAAGTCATGTTCATTAAGTATTTGGAAAATCATTTGGAACATCAAGCTCAGGTGTGTACTGAAATTTTCTAATATGAATATCTATTTTCACTGAAACTCAAGGTCTTATATTACGAAACTGTCCGTAACTTTGAAAAAGTTATACCAGGTGTCTAACAATATGTATTTGCTCAATCTAGTGAAAAAAATTTTTAACAGGTTCACTGGCGACCATATTTTTGAGGTACTCTCTGATGCCGTTATGTTTTATTTGTTTTCTGTCAATTATAAGTCTGAAAAAATCTATAAGTCTGCCTCTGCCTGGAATCGCTCTTGATTTTCTTTTGCGTATTAGTCGAAGCTGAATTGGTATCTACAACCAAAACTGGAATATTTCCTAACGACTGGTCATCACCATGTGCATCTGAATAACTTTCTGATTCGGAGGTATATTCGTCTTCGGGCTCTGGCAAATTTCGTCATCACTGCTATCTTCTAAACACTGCAATAATTCTTCATCTGTGAGTGATTTCCTACTGCAAACATGTAAATTAAGTTCTTTTTTTTTGAAATTCAGAAGGTTCCAGGTTTATCGTCCGTGTTTAATGACACAAAAAGTAAAAGCCGCGTAACCAAATATAACACGTGCTCAACAAATGTTTTCAAAAAGACACCAGTACAGCTGAAACTTCCTCTAGCCAACGCCGAATGAATACTGATCTTTACAAGTTAGGCATACACAACACTCCGGTCTGATTGGGTGGCATCGTTTATTGATGCTCGTATACTCCGATCGGAGTAATTGGTGCTCAACCTGTTAATCAAAGTTACATGTATATTTTTTAAGGGAACCACCATTTCAATACCATCTGAATTTTTTCTGAATTTCTGTGAAATGATTAAGAGAACATCAAAGTAGCTTATAATACTCTGATATTCATTTTTTTTATACTGGATGTGAAACATAAGTGGAACTACCTATTGAGGGAACACCCAAGTCAGTTTGCTGAGTTTTTATGTCGGTGTTGGTGGAATGACCAATCTTCAAAACCGACAGCTGTGTTAGCAGAACTTTGAGAAGCTATCCTGGAATGTCATCGGAAAACAAATCCACATGTTTCTATTAATGATATAAAATCAAGAAAGGTTAATGCAGTCAAGTTGCTGGAAAATAATTCAAAGACCAATATATTGAAATTGATCATAATACAGTAAAATCTCATTAATCTGGTACTTCAATAGACTGATAAATCCAATAATCCGGCACCTTCCACCCGCGGCGCGTTCGCCCCTCTACGCCTATGCGCTCCGTCGCCACGTCATCGTCTAGCAGTCTAACCTCAAAACTAAGCATGTGCACGTGCGTGCGTATTTACATGTTGTTTTCAAGTGAGAATACTGTGTAGTTAAAAATATCAAGTGAAGGGAAACACAAGACACTATTTTATTCACAATGATTTTTTCCTCTATAATCCAGTAATTCGAACATTCCAATAATCCGGCACCCTCTAGTTTTTAATAGTGACGGATTAATCAGATTCCACTTTATATTTTAATACACTTTCAAAGAAACGAGGAGGAATTCCTAACTCATAACTTTTCAAAATTTTTAGTGTCCGACCGAAAGTTCGGTTTTGGACGAGTTTGGGCAAAAAAACGGGTTTCGGTTTAGTTTCGATTTCGGCGGCAAACCTGCCAAAACTACGACCGAAACTGCATTCGAGGGTTCTCGCGCTGTGATCGGTCATGTTCGGCGCGTTGAATTTCATACAAGCCACGAAGACATTTTGCCGCGTCCACGTGCCTAATCGTGTCGTGACTTTGTGCTTTACTTTGTTTATTACATAAATATTAAGTACCTATTGTGATATTAGGTAACAACTCAAATAAGTAATTTTATGTTTAATATTTTTGAAAAACTATTAAAGAAGAATCTACACCTACTCAAACACCTCACCTATTATTTTTGAGGTGCAACTAATATTTTTTCTTGAATAAGGGGTTGTTATGTTGATTGGTTGATTATCAATAAGTGAAAATGTCGAAGACTGCATAACGTTGTGATTTAAAGATAAAAAAATAAAGATTGACTGAAGGAAGTTTAGGTTTCGGCCGAAACTGAGACCGTTGCCGAAATTCGGTTTCGGTAGTAAAAACCAGTTTCGGTCGGATACTAAAAATTTTCCATGTACTTGTTTTATTATTTTACCGCAGCAATAAAAATATATAAAAGAGAAGTATACGGATTGTTCATACAGTGCGCGTAGCATAAGTGTTACCCCCCCCCCCTATCGAGCTCCTTACTATTGTTAGGAAAATCGCCAAGACACGTCGATTTTTCATTTCTGCAGTGGACATTTTTGTATGAATAGTTCACCCCTGACTTCATCCCTTACTGGAGGCGAACAACCCTGCCGAATTATTTAAATAGCATGGGGTGCTGAGTGATAGCTCATTTGAAAGGGGGTTTTATCCTTATTTAACCATGCAAAGAACTACACCACAAATTGAAAGGCAACTCAACTAACATAATTTTTTTCTGTTATTACAGTAAATGTTCAAAATATTCTCTGTTGACCGCCTAGCAAAAATAGAGTCTACTTTTACACGCTTTATATTAGCTTCACCTGTATGTATGTTTGTTTGTAATTCTCAAGCTCGGGATCTGTATTGACAGAATTATCGGTGTTATTGCTTGATCTATTCGTGGGCAGATGGCGCTGTACGTAACCTCCTTGATAGGTTGTTCAAAAGAAAATGAAAAAGCGCTAAAAAAACGCTTTTATAGCATATGAAACTAAAAAGTAAAAAATAAATATAGTTAAAAAACTAAAAAACACGCTTTTAAAGGACATCAAACTAAAAAGTTTAAAATATTTTTTTAAATAAGCTTAAAACAATAACTATCGAAAAATACTAGTATTATTGTGACAAAAGCGTGGGCGCTTTGTGCCATATTTTTTGTATATCTAGCGCCCAGGCTTTTTTCACAATATTACTAGTATTTTTAGATCGTTATTGTTTTAAGCTTATTTAAAAAGATTATTTTTAACTTTTTAGTTCGATATCCTTTTAAAGCGTGTTTTTTAGTTTTTTAAACTATATTTATTAGATTCAGTCCTGATGCTTTGCAAAATATCGCGATTAATTGTTGCACACACTATTTCGTAATCCACGCACGCAACTCCTGAATAGAGTGCCACTGAGTCTCCTAGACTTAAGATTTCAGGTAACCCCATAAGAAGAAATCTGAAGGAGTTAGATCTGGTGATCTTGGAGGCCATTCCACAGATCTTCGGCGCCCGATCCATCGTCCTGCATAAAGAGGCACCAGTCAGATTTTCTTCAATAAATAGCGGACCTCTAATGTGGTTAACCAGTATTTTCATCGGACCAGTACCTCACATTTTGTCTATGCCTCATCACTGAAACAAATGTGTTTCAAATAGCTAATCAGCGAAACCTCACAATTCAAGGCAACAGTTCTTCTCGATGAGGACAGATTATTCACAAACTCGTTAATAATATCCACTTGTTTATCTTCCCCTGTAGTTGATCGCCCAGACGTGTTTTATTTTGCACAGTTCCGTTCTCATAAAACTTTTCCACTATCTGTTTGAAATAGTGTCTATTAATAACACCTACAAAAACGTGCAGTTCATATCTACTCAAATGACAAATACGTTTTACTTGACGTCTGAACCAAAACCGATATCATACAGGGCCGAATTTTTAATTCTAAGGGTGATTGCGCTACGTTAATTGTCGTTATTCTCAAACAATCATAAATCTTGAAATAAGGTAGCGAATTTCAATTCCTTTGCACGGTAGAATAAAGAATAAAACCCCCTAGCTGATGAGCTATCACTTCCTACCCCATGCTGTTTAAGTTTTTCGAAAGGGTTGCTCCCCTCCAGTAAGGGATGAAATTAGGGGTGAACTGTTCATATTCAAATGGACATTGTAGAAATCAAAAATAGACGTGTCTGGGCGATTTTCCTAACGAGAGTCCAGTAACTTATGATGCGCCCTGTGTATTAGATACATTTATTTATTTATTTACGGGCAAGCCCATTTAAAGTATAAATTACAATGTTAAATTATAATTAAAATAAAATCAAATAAGGTACTGAAATACAAATTGCAACTAAGAATAGCTTAAAAGGGTTTAATTTGACGTTTAAAAGGGGTTAATTTGGAGTATAAAATGACAAAAGACAATGATCGTCAATATACCTTAAACTATACTTGAACTATACATTGAAACATTAAAGCACAGTATTCCGTAATTGAGTTTTAAAATGATGCAAGGAGATGTTGAACATCTCAAGATCAATGTTACGATAGTCTAATCGTAAGAATGTTGGAATGCAGCTATTTAATGTGTGGTTTAAATGATAAAATGGTATATAAAATGTTTGTTGCGGTCGAGTTGAGCGGTTTTGAACATGTAGATACATTTTTTCTAGGAGTTCAGCACAACTGCATTTGCTGCATTTGAAAAGTTGTGTCCGGTCTCTCTGTTTCCTCATAGTTTCCAGGGAGGACATGCTCAGAGATTGCAGTAGCAACTCATACCCGCAACTAACACCTGATTTATGTGCTATGTATTTGAGAAAGTTGGGTCAGTGAATTCGTGGGTTAGCCGTTTGATAAATGAGTTTTAAAACGATGCAAGGAGATGTTGAACATCTCAAGATCAACGTTACTATTGGCTAATCGTAAGATTCTAGAAATGCAGCTATTGAATGTATGGTTCAAACGATAAAATGGTACATAAAATGTTTGTTGCTGTCGATTTAGTTTTACCAATAGTTAGCAATATTTTCATTAACATCAGTGCATTTTTCAGCTCGTAAAATACTGGGAAGCTTTCTTACCAGAGGCGAAAGCTATTGCTTGACTAGAGGATATTTGCAAAGAATAGCAGCGTGTACATTCCTACTGGAGATTTACAGAAATATGAACTTCTTGTTTCTCTCTATTCTTTCTGGAATCTCATACCTATCTTTATTATTTGGCAAATTGAGTGCTATCTCATCATTGTAAAAAGGTATCTAGAAGGCGAATTATGCAATATGTGTATTGTTTCTTAGGTTATTGTTAGCATGTTCGTGTGTTGGATTTAGGATAGTTTGAAGAGTATCCTCAAACTCAAACTTTTTCAAAAAAAATGTTGTCTAAAATTACTTTACTTACCATTGAAAAAGGATTGTATCAAAAGAAATATTGGCAAAGAGAAGACTAGATCAAACGAATGTGAACTATTTTGATCCAACTTATCTTTTAGAAAATCACTAAAACTCCAGGTTTACAATATCAAAAAGCAATGGAAAAATTAAATTAAAATTGTAAATTAGAACAACAGAAAATTTTTCAAGAAATAGTGAAATGAAAATGGTAAATAGGACAAAAAAATGACACTCAGTAAGTTTTGTCATGAAATGTGTATATGTACAATTCTTATTTTGTTTTTTTTTTTTATTCAAATTTCAGAGTAAGTGTGAAGGCAATTCTGTTCCTCAAGATATTCAAGATATTGACACAAATCCTTGAAATATAGTAATGTTCGACCAAAGCATCTTTTAGGTTTTTTATAGTATGTAATGAGCACTTATTGATAACATTTCACATGATGATGAGGGAGTTGAACAAGAAAAAAATTAGGTAATCCACACAACTTTTTGTTTAACGTCCTGGCATTTTCAATTCCTAAATTGGATAGCTAAGCGAATGATATTTTTTTCTTGTATAGGGGATGTTGAAAATTCCAATTCATGAAACCAAATGACAGACAATGATTTCATGGTGATATCCAAAAAAATGATGCTGCTCCTAACAATATGGAAACATAAAACATGCATTATGAACAGTCTTAGATGTGCATTATCTACTGGAGAATGGGTTAGAAATATTTTTTCTGTACATATTCAGGATCTGAGCCTTTTAAAATAATTTGAAATTGCTGAAACTTTCTCGATCAAAAATGTATCAGGAAATATTTGGAAAATTTTAAGAAATTATATTGTGAAATATTCAAAATCACTTTTATCCATCTAAAGGAAGCTGCCCAATAGTGTCAGTGGTTAATTCACCTTTAAATTTGATGATGGTAAAAGGAATGGAGACTTGTGACAGAATACTATTAATGTCATTTCAACATTTTGCAACACGTAATATTTTGATTTATAACAACACTTATTTCAAAGATAAATAAAAAATGTCCCAGAGATACTTTCAAAATTTATTCATAACCTTGAAAATGAACACTTTGATGAAATCAGTTAGTTGAAAGCCAGTGAATAAAGGAATAGTCTGATTTAATTTCCATTACATTGATGATGCCCCCAATATACTTGGAATATGTCGTTTTGTGGGGCATTTTGATTATTCATCTTCCAACATTAGGTTGAGAAATAGGATAGTGGGTAAAAATTCCAAAAACGACCAAGCAGTTATTATCAACATGAGATTCCCATTTGGCCCGCGTGGATTTATAAAATGTTGCATAGCATGTAGACAGACTGGATCAAGGGTAGACAACAAGATGCGAAAGAGTTTCTAGGTTTTCTTTTCAATGGTCTCAATGATGAAATGTTGGAGTTGATGGATTTGTTAAAATGTTGTACTGAAGATGGAAAACCTACGGTTAAGTCTGCTACAGGCAATGATTCAAGTGATCAGTGGAAGACGATAAGACTTAAAAATAATGGATATGCAAGCAGTAGGACCAACTTGGCCAGTACATTGACATCTTTGAGGGGCAACTGAAATTGACCGTGCCGGAGATCACATTACTGAGAATATCCAGCCTTTCCTCACACTGCCTCTCAACATTGAGAAAGTTGATACTGTCAGGGTGGTGATGATTTCGTTAAAAATTAATGACTAGGTCGAAGTGTGGGAGCAAGTAATACTCATATCGCATATATATGGTTGAGGTACAACGATTCCTTGGTCAAGACCATGCAAAAAGAATATGTGCTGAAGCCCCAGCGAGTTCCTTACTTGTTGTTCTACAAGGGCAGCGATATGAACCGACCTAAATAGCGCCCCCCTATCTCAGCATCTGGGTTCGTTGGGAATTTCTTGGTCGGATTACAGTAATAGTACGTTTATACATTTCCAATACTTACTGATTGATCATGATTTGTACATTTTCTATTTTGGAATTTCAGTTTATCACTTCCTTCCAACCATTCAAATACAGTTACTAGTAACTTCCTTGGATATGATAAAACTAAACCCCAATATTGATTGTATAATAACTAATACCCACATTGAGTTATTATCTTGAATCAAATCTGATGTTTGATATTGCACATCAACAATCAAATGTCAAGGAGTTTGTTACATATATAACTTGATTTCTGTGTAGATCCAATATCCAAAAGTACTGAAGAATTTTATCAAATTTGTTGAGGTAATTGAGAGAGCTTTGTAATATATGTCGAATTCTGCCAATTGATTTCTGGATGTATGTTACATTATATTGCATATCATGCTCATAATGGTAATGAATGAATTTTATATTTTATTAATTTACTTCCTATTATACATTTATATTATATTTTACTATTGGCTTTCTCTGAACTCGCGATCATGTTCATCAGCAAAAGATCTTCATAAATGGTCGAATAAAATTTAAATCGGTGGTCTCTCATTTCATTATTAGAAATATCATTTTTCTGTTCTCGCAGATAACATTTTGGTCCTAATCTAAAAAATTTCTAGTAAGTAGAGATATCCCTACTGACTTTAAATTTGATGTAGAATCATATATATATAGATATTCATGAAGCATATTCTAATTTTATTCATTACGGAAATTTTATTAAGTTATAGCATGGTAACTGTTGCTCAATTTGCATGAAATCAGTTACCTTGTCAAGTGTAAAAGTATCTACATCATTTGGCACTTCTGCAGTAGAATTTACATTGTATATAGGAGTGGTAGGATTAATAGCTAGTTTTTATACCAGTGTACTTTGAATTCTGTGCAACTGGAAGCCCACCATTAGACTTTCAACTTGTCTGAATATTGTCCCTATAAAAAATTCTGTACTTAGGTTTCTTGTACAGTCAGGTATTTCCAGATAAAGCTGAAAAATATGGTCCAGATTTTTTTGTACGTGAATGATTGCGTGTCTTGATATATATTATTTTAAGTATTTGCCATTGTCATATGCTATTATATTATGAATATTGTGATAAATCATTCTGTTTAAGAAACATATATATTTAATTTTGTTCTATTTGCCACGCCAACTGGAAATTTGAATTTCGAAGTTGAGCGTATGTTACAAAAAATTATCTTTTCGTAGTTTTAAGGTATTGCATGATGAATATTTTGTTGCTTCAATGATTTCAAAAATTATATATTGTATATTTTAGCGAGTTTTCATTTATCCCGAAAATTTCATTTTTCTATTTAAGTATAGTACGTGCCAACTAAGATGAGATTTTGATTCGCATTTAAATCCATATTTTACCCGCCCCAGAAGATAGCTATTGGTCACAAAAACTGATGTCAATAATACATTGGTGAAATATAACCTAAATGGGCGGAGTCTTTTAATAGAGAACGATTCTTTCGTTTTTGTGCTGACTCATGTTAGTTGGCGCGTACTATAAACATTTCAAACTTGTAGTAGTAATCGTTTAAAAAATATAGGAGCAGAATTCTGATTATTTTTCTATAAAATGTAAAAAAAATCATAAATCAATGAAATTAAATATGTTTACTGTTTCACCTAATTTTTGAAATAATACGGAGATGGAAGAAACGAAATATTAAGCAAAAACTAAAAAATAGTACAGCGATTTCTGTATCAAAAATTAATAATACTAATGAAGCCATCAACTTTCATCCGATAACTACTTTATCTTCCCTTAAAAAAATGATTGAGAGGGCAGTATATGAACAATTGATTGATTACATTGAAAGTAATAACTGATTATGATTAACCAAACTGGATTTCGATCTAAACACTGTAAAGCAGCATTACAAGTTTCCATATTCAATGTCAATAAAACGAAAGCAATGATAATTACAACAAAACAATTCAGTTAACAAAACATAAGTATAAATATATACAATCAAAAAAATTAAATTGTTGAGAAATTCAAATGTTTGGGGTTATTCGTGGAACAACCACTGAATATAAAAACACATTACAATTATATTCGCAATAAAAATGCAGAAAAAATATTTTTCTTTGGCCGTGTAAACTGTTGCTTACCGTTTCAGACTTCCATTACAATTTTCAAATAAATCATTCATCCCCATTTCGCTTACTGTGCTAGTTTACTATCACAACTTGATGCAAATTGTTTGTCTGCATTGCAAAAATGACAGAATAGAGGCTTGCTCCTAATTTTTAAATAGATATACGCCAACTTCAACAACGCCAACATTAAATTTTAAATTGTTATTTTTTTTCTATTCATTGAATGCAATTCCGAGCATACATATTTTATTGTTATGAAGTTGGGCTATGACTTTGTCCATCCAATTTTAAATGATTTTGTATATTAGAATGCCTAGTCGAAATAAAGATTATTATTGTTATTCTTGTTTGCTAGCTTAAGCATTCTAGTAGTGGATGAATAACTGTGATACTCTGGGATTCCCTAAATTCACATTCTATTAATCAGTTGCGTTAATCCTGGATGACTTGTTGATAAGTAGAATTTGGAACCTCTGGCGTGAAATCTATTTAAAAGAATCTATTGGAAACAATTTTCCCTCACCAGAACAAAAATGTCATCTAAACATGTGTTTTGCTGACCAAGTTAGCATCATCAGGAAATGACTCTTATTTTCAGCTCTACCTGATGGTGATTAGTTGCACCCTAAAACGTCATAGAATTGTGTGAGTGTATGTAGTAGTTCGACGTTTCGGTTTTGACTTTGAAGCCATTTTCAAGAAGCTATCATTACACTGAGGTCTCAATTTGCCTACTCCTCAGTTAGTGACTTGTTGCAAGGGTTTTGTGACTTGACGCCAAGGCCTCAATCTGCCTACTCCCCACGGATTCAACATTGGGAGCCATTTGAATTCGACCCTCTTTTCGCAATCAAGTGTTTCCTATTTTTTATACTTTGCTGTACCGCTGAATATTATTCCACTCACTACCCTCAATTCAGTTTTATTTTATCTTGAACCTGGATGCCAAGAATCTGCAGTTTTAGCTTCTGATGGTGAATCCGTTTGCATTTGACCCTCTTTTCACAACAAACTGTTGTCTATCCTTCGCACATGGCTGCACTGTACTGTCTGCGGTCTTCCGCCTCTTTTTATAAGTGATTGTCCAATTCATTTTTTTTTTCATTGATATTACATAAAAAAATTGAAAATGAGTTCTTGTTCATATGAAATAAGAATGTCGATAGAAAACATAAAAAAATGGTGGGAAACCTTCATTCAGTAGGTTTTTTCTTGACATATGAGAAAATTGAAGATGGTTTCAAAGTTCTGAATTTATTGAAATAGTAGATGGTGATCAGCTGAGCTCACCCAAGATTAGCATCAAAATTCTATACCAATAAACCTAACACTTTGTTGATAAGAGGTTTCCTCAACGATTTTGCGAGAATAGGATGAAAACTACTTGTTTTATATAATGTATATTTGTCGGACTGAATACATTTCAATTATTCTTTACTACATCAAATTAAAAATATATTAAATAAACTTTACATTGTTTAAATGCCGGTATAAAAACCTAACCCTTCGTGAGGGAATGTGATGAAAATTATCTTTCTTCTAATATCACAGTTTCTTGAGGACACAGCTTCAATTCTTTGAGTGTTTGGTATTTATCCAGCGAGGTTAACTGAAAAAAAGTAAATAATTTACAGAATTTTATTCCGTGCACAAAGATGTTTAACATAGGGCTGACTTATTAGTGTGGAGAGGAATTTTAGAAATAATTACATAAGTCAATTGAATAAATGTGGGGAAAATGCAATTTTTCAAAGATTAGAATCAAGCATTATGGAAATAAGATGGAATGTGAAAGTTACAGATCTCGAATTACTCTTCTTACTTTTTATTTGCAAGCATGATGATGAGTAAAAGATATACTGTAACATCTGGGCGTAGAATAAATCCAAAACAAACATTTTTCCTAGACCTGTGTTTCACCAACCAAATTGGCATATACAGGAGATGAAGTTTCAGTTTTCTTCATCGTAGTCGTCGAGAAGAGTATAACATTTCTAATGATTTGGAAAAGTGCTTGTTTTGGATATAACGATAAGATTTATTAAAACACTCTGGTTGCTTCGTATGTATTTTTGTCAGGAAAATAGGTTTCAGACTTACTGAGAAAAACACTTTTGAATAACCAGAAACCAAGTGACCAAATCAATGAAGAGTTTGAATTGTCCTTTGGTGTCGACGGACAGAGGGATTCAGAAAGATGTTTGATGAAATTGAATTTTCAAGTATGCCAAATACGGATATCTCAATCTACAGGGGTTATAAAAATTATTAAATATTTTCATTGGAATCATATTTGAAATATAGATGAGGTTTACTTTCTCTCAAGTATATCAGCATAGTAAAACAACAGAATGACTTTATACAAGATACACTCAGCACAGAACAGGAACTATGAAGTTTCTCAAGACCAATTTCACCTGAAAATACTAAATCAAAATTATTATTCATGTTCTTCATGAAGGTTGGAAGGTTTTCTTCGAATTTCTCAATATTATAAAAATTGTGGTAAAATAAAGTTAGCCTGGTTAAAATGTTATCTCAGATTTTTAAATGAAATGTGTGCTACATACCCATTTTTTAAACCATAATTCTATATACCAAGTGATTCCACATTAGTAGATAGACGAAGCCGATACTGGCTCCTTCCGGTCTGAGCTCGATGGCTAGTAGAGAGCTCAATGACCGAAGCTAATTAGACGAGAAACCTCCGCGGCCCTTGGGGCTGAATTTTCTAGTACATCATATTTTAACTTTTCCTCTCACACATGAGAGGTTCACAAGAAAAACGGACAATACAGGAAATAGCAGTCAGTAACGATTTCTCGAGGGATATAGTAGATGATATAATAAGGAAGAAAAAGTTTAGGTTAGGAATGAACGAAATCTCGACTTTTAAAAATGACGAAAACCAAAATAAATATATCTCAGTTCCATACCACCAATACACGAAGAACTTTGGAAAGATTTTCAAGGAACTAGGTATGAAGGTGGTTTTTTAAAATAAGTCATACACTACAGAGCCTTTTAGGAAACCCAAAAGACAAAGTCGAGAATTCAGAAAAGTCTGGAATTTTGCGATGCCAAAAATTATGGACAGACAAAAAGGTCTATTAAAATAAGATATAAGGAACACTTAATACACCTAAAATATGGAAGACCAGAAAAATCAGCAGTCGCCCATCATATTTTGCAACAAAACCATTTCATAGACTTTAGTTCATTAAGATCAGTAAGACACGTTAACAACATGCATCTAGAGAGTGCATGAGAGTGTAGAAATAAGTAAACATAATGATATTATAAATAACGATGATGGACCAATACTTAATAGTATACTATATAGCTTGTTAAAATAATCATCAGATTTACCTTATTATTACATAAGGAAACATTGTAAAATTAATTTAAAACTAGTAAATAGTGAAATGATTTCAAGACACTTAAGACGCAGGTATCTAGAAGAGGTATCTATGGTATAAATAAGGATAACATTGTATGTATTTTTAGTTCAATCTTCCTCCTGAAGGTGATCACTTGGTGGTCGAAGCACGTGTCGAGGTGTTAAAATAACGGTTTGGTGTTGGGATAAAACTCCAGTAATATTCATACTTACATCTCTTCTAGGCCAACTAGATATGACTTTGTATTCCTCTGATGGGTATCCTTTCACTACCAAAAAGTCCAGCAATACCTATAACCAAAACCAAACCAATGAGACTTTAAAATTAATTTTTAAATTATTCCAACCCCAAAAAAAAATTCAACTGATGTTGAACCTCAACTATGTTGATGAAACTGAATATCAACAGGAAAAGAGATACGCCTGAACACTATGAAGGATGTTTATTAAAGTGAATTGAATTTACGATTTATATTATGAGCATTTTTATATTTACTGAATTTAATGTTAGATATTTGAATAGATAATTATTAATTTCAAAGTGAAATATTTATATTATGAGCATTTTTATATTTACTGAATTTATTTTCATTAACTTTATTTTCATTGTATTAATTTCAAAAACCACCTCTATTAAATTATGTATTATAGAACAGGGTAAAGAAGCCATCCAAATTATAGAGCCTAACAAATATAACTTTTGCGTTTTCATCATGTGAGACTCATGCTTTGGGAATATTTGAAGTAATTTTATTGCAAAATAAAAACTTCCATCATAAGAATCGAATAGAGCTCTTTGTAAACTTTTACCCTTTCGATTTAGAAATAATCAACAAGAGTAATTCAACAGCAACTCTACTTACTTTGAGCGGAGTATTGGCCTGAAACCTTCTTTCCAGGTTATCTCCTTTTGGTAATCTGAATCGAATTTTAGTGATACCATCCCCTTGACCGAGGGGAGGTTCTGGTGGAAGACTTGCTTCAACTTGTCTACGGTGAGCCTCTTTTTTGGCTTCTGACTCCGCTTTCTCACTTTCCAGTCTTTGCCTCTCCTCATTTTCTGCTCTTTCCTGCATCCTTTTTGCTTCCTCTTTAGCTCTATTGGAAATAATGGTATATAAAACTATATGACTTCACGACAGTTGAAAAAGAGGCTACATATGTGTGTTTACTTGAAATACTGAAAGGGACTGCGAATGCAATCAAATACCTGACAACAACAAGAACATAGTTTTGTGATGACACCATTCTAATATTGATGAATTGAAAACGTCAAAGGGTTTCCAGGGAACGTTTGGTGAAAGGTGACATTTTTTGTTGTGGTCATAATAAAAAACCCTTTTCTTTTTCAATATTTTCTAGAAGCAATTAAAGTGAAGAATTATTGAAAAATTAACAGCTTACCGGTCTGCTTCTAAGCTTTCTCGGAATGCCATGTCTTGTTCGAATTTGACGAGTTCCCGTTCGGCGCGTTCTTCTTCTTCTTTAATTTCAACTCGTTGATGTTCCGTGAACACTTCCACGCACTCTATCAGACTTGATAATAGTTCATTTACACCTACATTTCCTATATAAAACATAATAAAAGGATTAAATAAAAATCTGCAAAAAGAGATATATTTATTTCAATAGGAGAGTATTTGAACACTTCAAGGCAAAATTGAAATATCTGACAGACTGAAAAAATTGTAGTAGAAAAAAAAGTGCTCAATTGAAGATTTATTATACTGAAAATGAAACTATAATATATTATTATAAATTAATAATGGTAATGATACACCTATAAGTAGGAAAGTAACTAATGTACTATCTTTTCTTCAATATACTTATTCCCGAATCATAAATATTTAAAAAGGCCTGTCTGTTTGAAAAGAGGTGTCTACTATATCTCAAATGAGGTACTTATGTTCAGTAGATAGTAGATAGATAGTTAATGTCACTATTTATCGCCATTATTGAAGACATTTACTCTTGTTACTTCATTTTGCAAAATGGTATATAAGATAAAATCACATAAGTTTGCAATCTATAAAATATTCAAATTACATTAGAAGTATTTCCAAAGACAGACCTGAAAACTNACTTCGACGGACAAAAACCTCGGAAAAGTCTAAAAAAAAAAAGATTTAATTTCAGAACTATCTGGTGACTTTCCCATTTTCACCACAAACGTTTTATACTGTTGCCTGGTTAGATCTTTTGCTGAATTTAGTACATTAATCTGTATTTAAAATTAGGTTTAGTATTAAGGGAACATAATCAAGTTAGCAATATAATATCTTTCCCAAGCTGCAAGGATTATCAGTTCCATTCCATCGAGTCATGGAAATCTTTTTTCAGTGGGACTAGATGTCAAAATGATGTATGTAATTTGGCATTTGAGAGAATATGTTGATCTTTGTGGATAACTGAGAATAATGTAAGTTTCTTTGGGAATCAAATTCCCTGACTTGAGAATCAGGCCCCTAGGCACATCGAACTGCTCTAAAATCTTATTATATATCGTTACATGCTCCAAGTACGCTGATGAGACAAAACACCTGTTTTTGTACCATTCAATACTACGAACTCCCTCAGAACTCAATTGCCATTGAACTTTCAAGTAACTTGAATTTTTTCTCCCTTCATGGTATTAGTCAGTTTATACTTTTGAAAAAAAAAGTGATCGTCCCATTTATAAATAAATAAAAAAAGTATCATACTCACCATACACTACATTGAAAATTTCAGTCGTAGATCTAATCTTCATAATAAGGAATATAGCTGGTAACCTATCTACTGGTATGTTTCTCAAGCTCATCGCTGCTGTTGAACCTAAACAATTGTTCACTGATTGCTGTAACTTTGTACGATTACTCTCGAACGTGACGTCCCAGCCCCACAAAACAAAATTCTTTTCAAACATTTGCATTACACTCTCGAAACCCAACAACTGAGTACAGAACACATTTGTTAAGACACTTGCGTCGTGATGAAGGTAGATGGCCAGGATTTTTTTCTGAATTGAAATCATAAAAATGTATTTTTATTGAATAATATGTTTTTAATTGTCATTCATTTTCTTCAATTGAGTTAAAAGGTAAAATACACACAAATCACCAGATAAATGAATGGAAATGACATATTACATCCTAATAGGTAGAACTGGAATCTTCGGTATCTTGTCCCCATCGTGTGACCTAGGTCAAGGTCGTTCAAGATCAAGCACAAAACTGTCCCTCAAAGTTACCTAGGTTATGTTGTGTCGTGTAGGTTTAGGGTTTAAAAGTGGTGGGGGAGGTTAAGGAATCGGCTTAAACCAACAATCACAAGAAATTACAGTGGTTTATTCACGAAATATTTATATATAAACTTATTATATAACTTCAAAGGAAGCGATTTCCGAATTGGTCATAAGTTTTGGTTTATTTTTCCATCGAAATATCACAAAAAATATGATGCCAAAATTCAAAAGCTTTATTCAGCTTTGCCCTACAAAAATGTACATATTTGTTTATTTCCACAAATAATACAACTTGTCAATTCAGCCTCTTTCTGAATGAAACATTACATAACCTATAAACAATCTAAATGATAGATTTTTTTTCTATTGCCATATAATCAAAAGTCTATTGTGAAAATGTTGTTTAGTTTCATGAGCCACAAATATAATTGAAATTATATAGTTGAAATTCTTTTGTTGTGTCCACACTGTACATCAGTGTCTTTCATTGTGCGACCCCCCAGGGGGTCGCAAAGCTTCTAAAAGGGTGTCACAACAGGGGATACAAAGCCTCAGTAAAAGAAAAAAATAAAGTATAAAATTATAGTTTTATTACAGAAATATTAACTGAAGAGCATTTGTGGGAATGGCTCGTATGCCTCACATTCATATTAATGTGAAGGTTGCGCCTGTTTTTCGTTAACTAGTTTCTCCAACAATGGATCTATTCACAGAAATAAATTGTCTTCCAAATTTAGACGATTCCTTTGGTTACTTTTTATTTGAGCCGTTGACATAGTTATAAGAAAATAATAGAATCGTCATAGATAAGGTTTGAGTTATATGTGCAGATTGTCAAAACTAGGAAGAGACTTGAGAATTATATCTCTCTCTATTTCTCACAGTCTACTAACAAACGTGCATCTTAGGGGAGGTCCTAAGCCGAGACTTTGAAGTCACATCCAAGAGCTTTAATATAATAAAATGAAACACAAATCAAACAGGAAAGGTTGGAGGGTTGCGATTTCTTTTTATCAAGGGGGTTGCGTCATGAATGAGGTTAAAAAACACTACTATAGAGTGAGTGGTAATGCAAATGCATATCTCCATTAAAAGATAGAAGGTTAGATACAAATATTCAATAAAATATACCCAAAACAAAAAAAAAACTTACATCTTTAGCTGGCTTTGAGCAGGCTTCTTTTATTGCATCTTCAAGAGTGCTTTGATAAAACGCTGGATGGATGTGACCGTATCTTGCCGTAAACTGTTCCGAGAAAGTAATACTGCCAATAATTTCGTCTTCAATATTATCTGGAACTGAAAAGGAATTGATATTATAATAAATCCATTTTTGTAATGAACATTTATAAAATAAAATGTTGACAACATTGAAAAAAAAAGAGAAAAAGAGAGTGTGGTGTGATTTTGAAAAAATTTGCAAATTAGGAGTGGCACATAAAGTTTTGAAAAACTGATTAGGAAGATTTTAACAGACTACATCAGAGGTTGTGAATCAATGGATAAATAGTTTCTTCAGGAGTACCTACAAGATCAGGTTTAATACGCCAGGTGTCCCAACAGTGAGTATTTACTCTATATATTTAAAAAACATATAATTGATGAACTTATGTTAGGAATAACACGTAACACGGCCGTTTTTTTATATGAGTAATTCATTTATTAATTTATTTATAAACATTTAATTGGCCAGTAATCAGAATAGATATGGTGTTATGGACTACAAAGTATTCTCTGATTAATATAATTTTGTAGTTATTTATAACAATACCAAAATAATGAAAACAAAAAGTATATATAAAAAAAAGTGTAAAAATGTAAAGATGGACTTTGAAGGTAAAAAATAAAGTTCCATAAAACATGTTGATGTAACTATTGTTTGATAACTTCAACATGGTAAAATTATACTAAATCAGACTACTTTTTAAACAGTTATCTTCATGTTTCGAAGAGAAGTCTGTAATACAAAGTGTTCCATTTGAAATGATCTCATAAACTTAAATTGACATGGAAAGAAATCAAAGTAACATTTGAAGTACCCTGTATAAAAATAACTGATGACCAAAGCATGACATGCTACTTTGGTATTCAATACTTCACTTCGACGGACAAAATTCAACTTAGCACTGGCGCTTTGTGGCTTGAAAAAAGTTAGTGCTGATTAGGAAATAAATGACAGACAAAAAATGGTCATTCCATTCAAAAAATGCCACGCGCATCTTGGCAAACTACAAAAAATAAATGGAATTTTTTAGAAGATTTCATTCATTCTGTTAAAAATAATACCAACGAAATCAAAGTTGAATTTCATAGCTTTCATTTCTTTCTATTACACTTGAATTCGTTTTCAACGTGTACTTTCTTGAAACAATTTCATATTTGACTGCATTTCATTGTTTTTTTTTCAAGATATGTGTTCATTGTAAAAAAATCTTATTTCTGTTACTGTCATTTTATAATACTTTGTAATTAGTTATAGTTCCTAAAAGTCACAGAAAGGCCAACTAGTGGTTCCTTACTCATTTGAAACGGAAGTATCCTTCGAGCAATTCACTGATCATTTTGTAAATATAACACAGAATATTTTTAATGACTGGTAGACCGTAGTCAAATGGAACTTATAGTACCAAACGTTTCGTCCGCTACAGCGGAAAACATCATCAGTAATATGTGTGTTGACTGTGAGGATGATGGTTGTGGCTGAGACATGTATATTAATGATATGGAAAAATATGTTGAATGTGACTACATTCATATATTCGCAGATGATACTCTGATATCAGTAAGTGAAGGGAATATCAATAGAGCAGTGATCAAAATAAATGATGTGCTGAAAAATATTGATAGATATTTGAAAATGAATAAATTGAAGTTAAATGTAAGTAAAAGTAAGGCAATGATAATCACTACACCTTATAAATACAAACAAATAAATAGTAGTAACATTAACATAGAAATAAACAATGAAAAAATTGAAATTGTAAAGAAATTTAAATATCTGGGATTTATGTTGGATAATCATTTATTATTTAGTAGCCACTTTGAATATACTAAAAAAAATCTTGAAAAAACTATATTTCTTTTCTAGAGTGTCCCAAAACTTAAGTCTGTATTCCAGAATAACTGTGTATAAGTATGTAGTAGGTCAACTCCTATATCATTGATGCTGGAAACTTTAGTTATTTACTGTGGAGCGAAGACTGACGTACTTAACTATGATCTATATCTATAAAATGATACATTAACTGACTCCAACTTACATGGGTAAGTTTATTATAACAGTAAACCAAAACCATACATCTGTTTAAAAAATCTGTACATTCATTCAGTACAATAGTTTACCACAATATGTTAAAGAGGCAAGAAGTATACCAAAATTCAAACAAAATTTTATTTTGTATTATAATTGAAAAAAAAATATTCCACCATTATTCTATACTGTATTTAACTTTATAGATATGTATATATATATATGTGTGTGTATATGTATATTTATACTCAAATTTATTATATATCTTTATACTTGCATTTATTATAAGTTATATTTAGTGTAAAATGAATATGTTAACTATTTTATTTTTTGTAAATTAGGATTGTCCTACTTAAATGAAATAAATAAAAAAAAAGACATTGAGTTATACCCGTCCTCACAATCAACGCACATACCACTGATGATGTCTGTCACAGTAACAGACATCAGATATCAAAGAATCAAGCAAATACTTCAATGAATGACACTTGTTATTGCATGATAGAACTGACTGATACTTGATGAATACATTGAAACATATTAAAAAAAAAAACACTTCAAAGTGAGATTTTCACCATAAAGTTTACAAAACCGTGACACGTGTTTCACTTTACAATACTGTCACAGTTTTGTGACGCCCGAAGATGCCATTGTATAGCGAAACACATGTCGCAGTTTTGTAAACTTTCAAGTGGAAATATCGCATTAAAGGGTATTTTTTGAAAACTGACAAATGCTATTTCATTATCTTTTTCGATTTGTTGTAGTAGATATATATTTTATGTTATTTAGCTGTAATGAAGATTATCCCTACAATAAAAAAAATAATAATTCTTACTTAAAGGCTCTGTCCTCTTAGCGGGTGAAACGTCATTGTCTACGAAATATTCATCATCTACAGTAAAACTCTCAGAAGCGTCTTCAAATTCGTCATCATCACTATCAATCTGGACAATCGGTACACTTCTCTTCTCTCTAGTGTGATTAGTTGTAGTAAGTCGGCAAACGGTCAAATCATGTTCAGGATAACTGAAAAAATTAATTCGCTTTTTAAAGTAATTTGCTAAGGATAAATAAATATTTTGATGAATGTTCTGGACATGCTACAGTAAGGAATTACATGAGACAAACCGTTCTCGTGATGGTCAAGTATAACATCGAAGTTTTTTTTGGTTTGAACTTCATTTAGTGGTAAATCATTATTCTTGGCAATAAAGACCCTAAGTATTATTATAAATTTAAGATTGAAATGGTTGTTACCTTCAATTCAACTTTACTTTTAGTTTAGAACAAATTAAATTTCGAAATGTATTTATTAACAGATGAAAAAGAAACAGCTACAGAATAAAGTGAGTGAAAAATCTGAAAAAACATGAAACTAGACTGCTAATGAAATTTTAAAGTTAACTTTGAAGAAAGACAAGAAATAAAACTACTGAATAATAAGAACCATATTTGACTGAGTAGGATTCTGTTCCAATTTCAACTCTTCTAAAATAATGATTATATTTCGAACTTGAAATATCGAGAATAAATCTCAATAAAATCATTTCAAGAAAAAAAAAATGTGTCAAATTAGAGAGGCCAAACTCTATTGTTAAACGTTCTTTGGCATTGCATAATTGCATTTTTGTGCCAGAAGCAAGACTTCAGTATCTTTTTGATTTGTTCTGTGGAGGCCAAAAAGTAAACCTAACCTTCAGAAAGTTTGTTAAGGCACAATTCATCTTCATCTTTTACTTCCTCTGTGGAAACTGACATTCTATTCAACTCGTTTCAAATTTTTGTTTATAAAAACCTCATTTTTGGAATTGATTTAAATAATAATTGATAGACATAAAAAAATCTCTCGAAACGTATTTAATATATTACAAGGTTAGATTTTACTACCATAATAGAAATCATTAGTGCATATGTCAATGTATTTCATGTCAATTTAGCAGATTCAACAATTCATACAAATTGCTTAGTCAATCATAATAAATTCTGACCTATTACATTTGACTGAAAGAAACAATTCAATTCAAATCAGGGAACATATATGTTGAGACTCAGCAGAATTTAATAAAATGAAAAAACAATTTCTGATTCATGTTATGAAATATGGCAGAAATTCACGGCATATTAACTCTCTCAAATTGTATTTGAATATATCTTTTCAAAAAACCAACATTTCATCTGATTCAACCTCTTCTATTACAAAAATTGTGTGCAATTGAATAACCCATGAGTAAGAACATATATGAAATATAAAATATTTACTTGATTCCTGATAGAGCTAACATTGTGTGGTCGTCTATATTGGGGGGCCAACCACTCCACAATTGATTGCGAACATGAACATTCGTTAAGGTATATACATCTCCTTTAACTTCGAGAATAGTTTTGGTGCCTTGATATTTGAGATTGTACGTCGTATTTTCAAACTTGACATTGAGAGTGAAGGTGCTGCTGAGTTTCTCTGTTACCAAATTCCTGGAAAAATATAATTTAATGAACCTGAGAAGACACTTGAAATTTATGGCTAACTATTAACACACATATGATGGAATTGGTCAATACTTGATGAAAATCCATAACATATTCAAGCAACATTTTATTATGAAATTTTAACTAAACAGTTTACCATATCGCACCATGAATTTCACTATATCGGCATGAGTTTGACCATGACTGAGGAAGCTGTTGTATAGGGAAACAAGTGTTGCGGTTTTGTAAACGGTTCAATGAAAATCTCACAATGAAGTGTTATTTAACTACTTACAACTATGAATTTTTTAAGTATGAAGAAGATTTGAAGCATTTTATATGAATGTATTTAGCTATAATGGTATCTAAATTAGAATATGCATGTATCATTTGGTCTCCATTTTACAATGTGCACTGTGTATCTCTAGAAAGAGTGCAAAATGAATTTTTGAGATTTTGTTCTTTCAAGTTGGGTCTTCAAATACAGTACCGTGACTATTCGATTATATTTCAAAAAATGGGGCTGATACTTTTGCATACCAGAAGAATTCACGCAGATCTATGCTATGCATTCGAGCTCAATGAACTGATGACTTGTCCTGAATTACTTGAATACGTCTAAAATTCATATTCCGAACAGAAATCTTAGACACAGCCATTTATTTCATACACCCTTCCATCATACAAATTATGGCAAACATACACCCTTGGAAAGAACCCTAAAGTTAGTGGATGACAAAAACATCAGTATTTTTGGTGTCTCTTATGGTCGTTCTGAACAATCATTGAATAATTAAGTTGGTAATTGTTTATATAAGGTAGTAACAAGTTTAAATTTCAATGTTATATCCTAAAGTATCTTATGTGAACAGTTGAAACATTCTGTAGTATCCTATTTTATATTTTACCTTTCTAGATTGTTACTCATTTTCTGTGAAATGTGAAATTTTAAAGTTGTAATGGGGTTTATCCAGTGTAAATAAATAAATATTTACTCAATTATTACCCATGAAGTCAAGTGTACCACTGGGATCCCAGTGTGAACCACTGATATTCTGACCCATTCATGAACCACACTAATTCATACAGGAATGTAGGCTTTCACGGCTACCGTCAATGTTTTGGTTGGTTTCCGGGTTTTGTTACGGTCTTCTTTGCTTACAATTTCCAAACATTTCAACTGCAACTGTGGCAGTCATCTTCAGTGGCGTGGTCAAAGTACTTCCCTTTCAGTTGATACGTCAAGAAGAGTACTTTGGCCACGCCACTGAAGATGACTGTTGCAGTTAAAACATTTGGATATTATGACCGAAGAAGACCACGGCAAAACCAGGAAGCCAACCCAAAATTTAAATTCATACATTTACAAATCAAAACTTCGGACCTTTATAGAAAATTTATAATTTTCAAAGAAGCACAGCTCCAAAATAACCTTAATGGAAGTGCTGATTGAAGTGAAGCTAATTGCTTGTGTTTATGGTTTTCAGTAGATCCCAGTATCCAATATATTTTGATTATGAGCTG